TTGGAGAAGGGAGGCCTGGCTTCCGTTTAGGCATAGCCAGCCACCGGGAGCACTAGATAATTTATTCATTTATTCACCTCACTAGACACAGCATGAGGTGAATAAATGAATAAATTATCTAGTGCTCCGCGGGCCGGCTTGAAACGGCCGCCGGGCCGTATACGGCCCGCGGGCCGTAGTTTGCCCATTGCTGCTCTAGACTCACTGGTCTTAAGACCTATTCAAGTAATGTTTGTTCCTTCTATTACTTCAGACTGTAGCAAGTCAGCCCTGCCATGGGTGAAAATCCTCCTGTGTGTTTTAATTGGGTTCCCGAACTTCTGCTTATGGTAATAGCATCACTATTAAATTCCACTGGAAGTAGTAAAATTTTCTCTGCTATGGCACTAATATGCCAGCATCCCTTCTTTTAAGGGATTTGTTTTATTATTCAATAGATTTTTGATGTTTAATCTGGATGCAATTTGCATCTTACAATAAGATCTGCTTCTGATTTTTATTTGTACTTTTATATGATTAGCCACACTGTGTGATAAAGAAAAAAGGGATATGCATTTTTAAATGAATTAATTCTCCAACGAAGGCATTGATATGCAGGGCTGAAACATATATGTAACCAAAAGTAGGAGAAGTTATGCATTCTTCTCTCCAGCGTGATGCAACCCAATTCAACCTAATTTTATGTTAGCAATTAACAGTAGAATTACAGTTAGAACCACAAGAGGCTATCTCATTCAAAGTCTATGATTGATCAATAGATCTGATCAATTAGAACTCCCATCATCCAAAACTGCATGGTAAATATACGTAAGCAGATTTCAAATTACAAAGCTCCACCTGCAATGAATTCTTATGAATCCTTATGCATTCTGATAATGAATTCTTCAAATGTTGGCAAAATTTCAGGCAAAAAACAAAGCCAGGATTAATGCTATTAAACTATTTCTAGAACTTGGAAAATGAAGCATTTCATGAAAGGGGAAGGGACAAGAGAGTGCCTATGAAGATTCTCAGTCATCCAAGTCATGATTGTCCCAAAGGTGCTTTTTTCACGAGGCAACTGGACTTTCTTGGGTTTTTTTGAAGACATTTCGCTTCTCATCCAAGACGCTTCTTCAGCTCTGACTGGATGGTGGAGAATGGCAGGATTTATACTCCCTTGCAGACAGCTGGTCATTTGCATTCTTTTAGCAAGTTGTTGAAGCCCCTGGGGGCTTATCAGTGTCATCAGGGTCACCTGAGTAGTGCAAATGGGTGTGGAGCCTTCTTGGAACTGTTGAAAGGACCATGTTGTAGCCTGGAGATAGATGATGTCATATCCCTCCCCCTCTGTTAAAAGAGGGCTGTTCAATTTTGACATAGATGGCCTCTTTGACCCCTCTTTCAAACCAGCGGTTTCTCTGGCCAAAATGTGGACTTTGCTGTCTTCAAAAGAGTGGCCTTTGTCGTTTAAATGCAGATGGGCTGCTGAATCTTGTCCATTTATAAAGTGGTTGTTTTGTTTCCCCAATGTACAGATCTGCACGTACAATGCAGTGAGCCATGTGCATATCTGTACATTGGGAAAACAAAACAGCCACTTCATAAACACATGGCACAACATAGGAGAACAAACAAAAGACAAAGGCCAAAAGCAGAATTTAAGACCTTCCTGATCTTCAATGTAACAGGGACCTCTAGATTCAGTACCCAACATCATTCCCTTTGAAATAACAATCTGCAGGCTAAGAGAACATCTACATTTGAGCCCTCTAGGATCAAGGGCCCTCAGTAAGGAATAGTATCCTGTGTGTAAGAGCACTGATGAAGCTGAAGAGTCAGAATGCTTCAATTTTTAATAATGGCATATAAATACGCAGGAAATTGAGTGTCCTATTTGAGAAACACTGGTTTTGCTCTATGCTTCCTAACCTCACTGGCACATGCTCTGATAACTTTGCAAAAGTAAAATCCGAAGGTAAAAACTGCACTGTCCAAACGTCACGCTCCAATTTTGTATTTTGCTTAAATTCTTTGTTTCCCGTTTTAATTGGTTTGTTGGGATGGGGCAAGGAGGGTCCCATTTCTTGTGAAGCAATTTAAGTCACTTCCTCAGCCCAAAAGGTGCTTTAAATATTTTTTACATGATTTCTACAAAGTACTTCCAGCAATTGGTCTGTTAACATATTTAAATATTCTTAGTGGCCACGTTAAGCCATGATTGCTTTTATTTTATAGCAGGCCAGAGTGAGCAATGAGTTAATATTTTTAGAGTCTTCTCTTTTGCCTCCATATGCACAGAGAATTGTACCATTGACCCCTTCAGAAATGCAACAGCTCTAGTAAGTAAGCCCTAGAAGGATCTATGAAACCAATTAAAGAAAAACAGGCAATGCAACTCTTGCCCAAGAGAGTATACTGAGCAGCTTTAACTTCCTTTAATCTTAGTTGTGCTATGCCTTTCCTAATTTGTACAACCATGAACAATTCATTTTCACTGCAAATGCTATTTGATTTTACATCAGGTCATCAGAAAAAGGGAGAGCATGAATAATTTACATGCTATAAAGTGCATAATGAAAAGACTCTCGCAAGCTCACTTATTTTTATACTAGCTGAAGGGCACTGCCTGCTGAAATGTGTGAATGCAGTGCCTATATACAATGTCCTCCAGCATAACCATCCTATGAACACCTAAACATGCATGTCTGTTGATGTAAAGGAAGAGTTAAGAATCGTCGAGAACATGGAAATTGAAAAGAAAATTTGGGAGAGTTAGAGTAGAAGCCTATAGGACCAACACAAAGGACTAAGACTATGCACAGTTCTTTGAAGGGGTGTTTCACTTTAACAGAGATCAGCAAAGCAGCTATAAGCCCCACTGGTTAACCAGACTAGGAAATCAACTCCACAGGAAGATTAAAACAATTTTATTGAGACTGACTATTATAACAGATTCTTGTAAATCTGATTGTGCTGTCTTCTGATAGAATTAGGCCTGAGTTGCTTCTGAATGTTTCTGCAGCCCATTTGCCTAACAATACCTGCATATTTCCATCAAGGTCATCTTGATCATCTTCTTTATGCTTTGCAGCACCCCTTTGAAATATTCTCTGAAGCAGTTTTAATCAGTGGAACAGTCACTTTGATTCACTAGGCAATAGTGCCTTCATTCACAAGGCATATCAGCCAAAGAAAGCAGGTCAGCTCTGCCTCAACTGTTCATCAAGGTGGACCAATATACCTCTGCAAACATCCATGTCACAATCTACTGTACAAGAGATTTTGCTACCTGAGGTAAAGCAACAAATAATCTTTTGATCTCCCTAAATAAAGATTTATTAATAGCCAAGACCTAGACATTCAGGATTAGTTGTTTTTTATTTCTTAAAAGTTTGGGGAAGAAAAATTCAAGCTCATCCCTTGAGGGCAAAAGTAAAACAATGAATTGAAGACTTCAATTTTATATATAGGTTTTTAGAATTCCATGATTATCTTAAACCAGTTCTTTGGAAAGGTAACCCCACTCTGCCTAATGGTAGAATCAGCCCTGCTAATCACACAATAATCTAGGAAGTAGTGACAAGTCTAAGTTCCCATGCTAAGGCAAGCTTCCTGAACTGGCTCTACTGCCAGTGACTTCATTGACATACCCAAATGGTTTTCTTGGGAACAATACAGTATAGAAGTGGTTTGTCATACCATCTTTCAGGATTTAAAAAAAAAAATTAAATTCCCAGAGGAGCCTGTAGCCCCAGGATTTTCTGGTGCTCTTTCATCTATCCCTGCTTAGATATTCAGGTTTAGCTAGTATCAACTACATGTTGAATCAATGCAAGAATCAAAATACAATTATATATTAATTTGCATGTCTTCATATTTTTAAAAATGGTTCTCCAATTTAATTATCTAACAAATCTATATACAAAACTAAATGTAATCCACATGTAAATATATTATGGAGAAAGACTTGCAAAAATAAGTCTAACAAGAACATACATAGAAAATGTTTACATATATGTTTGTAAAGAATGTTAAAATTATCAATTGATGAAGTGGATAAAATTAATTACAGTTAAAAAGTATGACACTACGCAAAACCAAAATCAAGTTTTAGCCATAGTTTTCTTTTATTTATATTCATTCATTCATTACCTCCCAATTTTTTGGCTTAAGAAAAAAAAAGAAATGACCTTGATCATGAACATGCCAGATATACCAAACGTCTACTTTATATGGGATAAATGACAAATATAAGGCAATGTTGGTGGGTTGTAGAGCCTATGCCTCTGTCCTGCAGAGGCCATTCTTCTGCACAAATGAATCCACCAGTATCATCTATCACATATCATTCTCCTCAATCCACACCATCCTGGTTTGTTCCTGGAAGATGTGGGCCCGTACCACCTTTACCAGGTCCTCTGAACTGCTCCAGGACTGAGGATCTACCCATACCCACAAACAGGGTAAGGTATGGAGAACCCATTCATCTCTTTGACATTTCTTCAGCACCTCAGATTCTCGCTGCCCCGGCTTCCCTAATAGGCTCCTAGAAAGAACACAGAAGAGAAATACACCATTAATCATGTACCTTTTCAGAGACTGATGACATATTTGTTGATGGAGGCTTAGTAAAGCATATTTTAAGTCTAATGTTCTAATCCCAAGAATGGATGGTGTGATGGAATGTCCAATACATCCCAGGAAAGTAAAGGAGAAAACAGAGCTTTTAAAGAAGTGATGCCTTAGGCGAGGGCTTTTCAACCTTTTCACCCATTGTACCACTTTTAGGATATGGCAATATCTGAGTACCACCAGTCGCCTAGCAAGGTGTCAAAAACTTGATGACCCAAAAAAAAAAAAGGGAAAAAAGTGATAAAGTACAGATAGTCCTCAACTTACAACAGTTCGCTTAGTGACTATTCGAAGTTACAATGGCACTAAAAAAAGTGCCCCCCAAGCCACAGCCAAGCAAGACACCTGCCTGCCCACCTGGCGGTGCTCTTCCTCCTGTCCGAGGTTTTCATTGTTGTGAGCATTTCTGTTGAGGATTGGCAGCGGAGGTGGGATGGGGGGTGTTTGGTTTTTATTCCCCCCATCTGCTGGGTGGTTGTAGCAGGTTTTGGTCACTTCACATGACCCTGGGACACTGTGACCATCATAAATATGAATCAGTTGCCAAGCATCTGAATGTAAATCACAAGACCCTGGAGATGCTGCAACATTCCAGCTGATCGGCACTTCTTCTGGGCTCAACAGAAGTGCCAGGATCAGTGCTGCTTTCCAGCTGATTGGTGCTTCTTCAGGGCTCAGCAGAAGCACCAGGATCAGCCCCGAGCTCCAGCTGGAGCCTGGCGCTGATCCTGGTGCTTCCACTGAGCCCTGACAGCGCTGAAGAAGCACTGATCAGCTGGAAAGTGGCACTGATCCTGGTGCTTTCGCTGAGCCCTGACAGCCTGCAGCTCCAGCCATCTCTCACTCAGGCTTGTGCGGTGCTGCCACTGGTTCAGCCCATTCCCCTCCCCCGCTACCACTTTTCTAAGATGGTCGCGTACCACCTGCCAGGTGCCAATGTACCACAGGTGATACCATACCACTGGTTGAAAAGCCCTGCCTTAGGCCAGGAGAAGGGGGAAGCAGGAAAAGGACATTCAGAACAACTCCACCTTAATTACATTAGTTAACAGTTGAAGGGGAGAATTGCTTTGACAGGCTTTCAGGATTATATTGCATTGCTCTAATAGCAATAAAAAATCTTTCCAGAAATCCCAGTAATTCTTGTTTGCTAAGTTTGCAATCCTTGCACTGCTTAACAGATGGGCCACCATACAAATTCTTTGGCTGCTGTTAGCACCAATCATTATATTAGTGCAGTATTACAAATTATAATAATCTCATTATTCAACAATAATAGCTGAGACCAGACAGAAGCTTTGACAAGTCAAGTACTGAAAAATCCAGAGTGTATATTTTTTACTATTAATGAAACCGGGTCATTCATAATATATTTGGGGAGGTGCTTGGCTAAATAGAATATATGCCCCCATGCAAGTGTGTTTAACTTTTGGGGAAATGCTAGTTGATGTTGCCAATACTAAGCAAGATGGATCAGTAGTCTAATTTAAAATAAAAATAATTTTTATTTCTTATGTATTTTTTTTAACATAGAGATTAAAACATTTCCACATAATTGATATACAGAAAGAATTACAGGGAGAACTGGCAACAGGGGAGGGATATTCATATAAAGTCAATATTAATACATTCAGAGCTCTAGCTAAGCCAACTGTTTCTTAGTGCTCTTTGATGAAACTGTAAATAGATGATAGCAAATGCATATTGTTGAGATGGTAATTTCTGGACAAAACAAGCAAGGGGAGTCATATACTATCCAAGGAAATTTAGCTGCTCTTACTCATTGGCTAGATTCATTCTTCATGCTAACTTATCAATTGCTTAACCACAATTTCTTGATTAAGCTACATTTCTGGATTTACACTCATTAAACCAAAACCTCCAAGCGAAGTGCTTTTGTAGGCATTTTGTGCTGAACACAGAAATCAGAAGGTATTTTTCCTTGTCAGAAATATTTGGTTCACAGCTGTACGAATCCACGTTCCTGCCATCACAACACACATTGAAAATTCAACCTGTTGGCAGTAAGCTGCCTGAACATCTGAAAGTGTGTTGCTTGGTGAATCAGTCTAGACACTGTTTGTACATTTTCGTACATTTCATGCATATTATACTCTTTTCATTCATGCATAAAATGCCATAATGCCATTTGCTATTTAAAGGACCTTTCCACATTAGTCCATGAAATTGAAGATTTACTATATTATAGACTGTAAATGCCAGAGTCAATCCCTTTCAATCAGAATAGAGAAGAGAGGGACCTTTCAGGTCTTCTAGTCCAGCCCCCTGTTCAAGCAGGAGACCCTATACCATTTCAGACAAGTGACTGTCCAGTCTCTTAAAAACCTCCAGTGATGAAGCACCCAAAATTTCCGATGGCAAGCTGTTCCACTGGTTAATTGTCCTCACTATTAGAAGGTTTCTCCTTAATTCCAAGTTGCTTCTCTCCTTGATTAGTTGCCATCCATTGTTTCTTGTCCTGCCCTCTCTGGTGCTTTGGAAAATAAACTGATCCCCTCCTCTTTGTGGCATCCTCTCAAATACTGGAATACTGCTATCATGTCATCCCTAGTCCTTCTTTTCTCTAGACTAGCCAAACCTAAATCTTGCAACCGTTTTTCATATGTTTTAGTCTTCAGGCCTTTAATAATCTTAGTGCTCTTCTTTGTACTTTTTCCAAAGTCTCAACATCTTTTTTTGTAATGTGGTGACCAAAACTGGATACAGTATTCCAGATGTGGCCTAAGGCTTTATAAAGCGGTACTAATATTTCATGTGATTTTGAGTCTATGACTCTATTTATACAACCAAGGATTGTATTAGCTTTTTTTGGCTGCTGCCGTACACCGCTGGCTCATATTTAAGTGATTGGCCACTAGGACTCCAAGGTCCCCCCCATAGTTACTGTTTTTGAGCCAGGTTTTGCCTAATTTGTACTTGTACCTTTGGTTTTTCTTGCCTAAGTGTAAAACCTTGCTTTTCTCCACATTAAATTTCATATTGTTTGGTTAGAGCTCATTGTTCAAGTCTGTCAAGATCTTTTTAGATCCTGAGCCTGTCTTCTGGGGTGTTGGCTATTCTTGCCAACTTAGTGTCATCTGCAAATTTGATGAGATCTCCTTCTATTCCCTCATCTAAGTCATGTATGAAGATATTGAAGAGTACTGGGCCTAAGACGGACCTTGTGGTACCCCACTGCTTACTTCCCCCCATGTAGATGTAGTACCATTGAAGACGACTCGTTGAGTATGGTTTGTCAGCCAGTTACAAATCCATCTGGTGATGATGTTGTCTATCCCACACTTTTCTAGCTTACCAAGAAGTAGGTTGTGGTCTACTTTGTCGAATGTCTTGAAGTCTAAGTATACTATGTCCACAGCATTTCGCTGGTCTATTAATTTAGTCACTTTGTCAAAGAATGAAATAAGATTGGTTTGGCATTATCTGTTTTTAATAAAACTATACTGGCTTTTATTTTTATTTGTTTCTAGATGTTCACAGATCTGTTTGTTTTTTTATCTTTGTTTTGTGTTGCAAGTCTTTGTTCATTCTGAGCCTTTGCTTTCCTGACTTCATCTTTACAGATTCAGGCAATCTGCTAATACTGTGCCTTAGTTATGTGTCCCTCTTTCCATTTTTTGTACCTGTCCTTTTGTCTTTCCATTTATCAGAGAGATCTTTGTGCAACCATGCTGGTTTCTTCTTGGATTTTTTCTTTTTCTTTTTCAGTGGTATTGTGCTAGACTGGGCTTTTGTGATCATATTTTTCAGAGGTTCCCACACTTCTTGAGTTGTTTTCCTTTTAGGATTTTCATCCATGGAATTTTTCTTAGGCTCCTGAGTTTGTTAAAATCAGAACTTTTAGAGTTTAAGACACTGGCTGGATTATGTTATATTGCCTGTATTCACATTATATTGAATTCCAATATGACGTGGTCACTCTCGCCCAAAGTTCTGGCAACTTCAACTCCCTCTATCACTTCTTCTCTACTAGTAAGTCTATGATAGGTAGTCAGTTCAGCAGTATTTTTTTTTGTTCCCTTTAATTGTGTCCAGTTCTTGGAGACTGCCCTGACGTTTTCTTGGTTTTTCAGAAGCGGTTTGCCATTGCTTCCTTCCTAGGGCTAAGAGTAGGTGACAGATCTAGAACTCATCTTCTGCTGATTTCTAGCCTGATGCCCTAACCAGTACATCACTGAATATCCTGAGAACTGTTTCTTTTCTGATCACTTCCAAATGTACTGGCTGCAGAACATGGAAGATCTCTTTGAATACGTAGGGTTGAAAACTAGCATGGTATCAGTGTGCTATATTTTTAATTCATCATATTCATTGAGAACTTCTTTATCTTCAACCAATACAACAATCATCCAAATAAGTCCTATAAATTAGTCAAGATGGGATTGGGGAGGGGAGAGAATATTGATCTAAAACTAATAGAGTTTTGATGATGTACAACATATTGATTGATATTTGGAGGTAATCAGAAAGGGGTATTATTTATTTATGTGGTAGAATGAATTTGGCATGCAGATTTTTTTTCCTAGCATCCATCTAACATTCATCCTTTGTTCCAAAATCTTCTTAATGGATCTTATGGTATTAGTAAAAACAAAGTAGCTCCTGTAAGATTAAATTCTGCCCATTCATCCTATGATTCTTGTTTCATAGCAGTTTCTCTTCCAGTCCATATCTCTTCCTTATATTTGAGAAGACAGTAGTTCTTTCCACCCACATTCCAGTTCTGAGAAGGGCTTTTATTCATACCTGATTCCTTTGATCTTTTTCTCAGTGACTTTAACATAGATAATGATGGGGTATATTTCACTTTTAATTAGGTCCTTTACCAGCTGGACCTCCAGCTCCAGCAGACAGTGTTGGTTCTGTGAAGAAATCCAACAGGTTTAGTGATTCAGATGGAAAAGAAATAACCTATTTCTGATTAATTATACTAAATCAAATCCCATAGTATGAAACCTTATTGCTTTTCCAATAGTAATTCTATTAAAAGATGGAATTTACAACCAACTTACAAGGAAGAAAAAAGAACTGAAGGGCAGAGCAAGTTGATATAATAGACACAGTATTGTCTATTATATGTCTACATTGGATTCAGACTCTTTCAGGGACAAAGTGTCTTCTGAGTTATCTGAAGACTAAATATTCCCACAGATATATATGTCCCATGAGCTCAGAAAAGGTCAGAGAATGTAAGAAAAAATTAACCAGATGAAATTATGATCTGAACAGTGCTGGTTCTCACACACAAATCAGTAATCAGGCACAACTTAAAAGGAATTCATTGAACTTCTGCAAAGTGGTTGCCCACATTCTTATGCTTTTTATTTAATTCCATGTATCAGCCACTCAATAGGAGGATTTTAAGCAGGATAAATGTTCTCAATTGTCATCCAGAAGTCTGAGATAGCTTCATCCTAATAAATTTGGCTTGCTCTCAGAACCATAAGATCCCTGTCACAAATAGTTACCAATCCTTTTATGTGTTACCTTCATTCAATTTTATTGACTGAATGCTGTAAGGCTGTCCAAGACCGGACCACATTTCTCTCCTATTCACACAGGGAAAAAATCCTCTTGGTTTTCTCTATTCTGGTAAGCTTATACTAATCTTCCTTAACTGGCATCCTTCTGATGGCTGGTGGATTATGTGAACTGTCATCAGATCTGAAAAGCATACTTTGGGAAGGCTGCTTTATACTTTGCGTTGTTTATTTCGCTGATCTTGCATTTTTAATCTACCAGAGAAGGGCCTATGGGCCATCAGTCTCTTCATTACATTAAATTTGCAACATAGACATTATGCCTCCAGCTCTACAGATTTTTTAATAGCACTTAGCACAAGCAGTATTATAGCAAAAAGTGGCCCATTTGTTCAATTTATGTAGTTCCCACACTAAAGCAAGCCCATAGAAGACATCAAGCTTGTGGTCCAAGTGCTGCACTGGTTCTAATGCATAAAGGCATGGGTGCGGGAGAAGTCATTCTCTCTCAAATCATCCTACCCCACAGGTTTGTTGTTCTGGATGGGAGGTGTGTACATTACCTTGAGTTCCGTAACAAAGGGTGGATGTAAATCTAACAAATAAATGGAGCTGGGCTCCATTTTCTTACCTTTTTAATAGCTTCCTGGATCATGTGGATCATCCCACAGTCCCTCTGACTCTGAGAGAGCCTCTCAGCATTAACAACATTCTTGGAAGAAGCACAGAATGCTCTTTGTTTTGCAAGGTTATCTATGAAAGGAGGCAACAACAAAAGATGGATAGTAAAACATATGGATGGGGGAAAAGAGCTAAGAAGCATGTGTTGAATGCCACAAAAAAGCTTCCAAATTATAAGCTAAGACAGTCAGCCTCAATCCTCCTATGCATCTTTAATCAGAATAAACCCCACTGAATTTAATAGTATTTATTTTCCATTAAGTATTCAGAGGATTAAAACCTAATCCTGCAGTCTGGAGTGGAGTCTGTAGAACACTAGGACTAAGTAAGGATAAAAAAGATGGGTTTAGCCCAAAGACATTTTATTGTCTTGAAACAAAAGGCAAAATGGCATCTTCCCACACAAGGTCAATTGGACACATATTAAAATATGCAATGCAGATGATGGGATAATATCCCATCATGCAACGCACAAAACATTCCTCTAAGAAAACAGGGGGATTCAGAAGAAATAGTGAAGGGAGTGGCATTGTTACCATTACCTTTCCTCTGACTGCAAAGAAATAAACTGCAGATTAGTTTATTATTCAGTACTTTACTTTTTCTCTCAAAGGATGACTCCCTTTATTCTCCCACATTGTGATCAGGCAAAGAAAAAAGTTTGTGTTGAGAGTGACAGCAAAAAAGATTGCAGCAGTAGAAGAAAGCTGTTAGAAAGACCAGAATTAATAGAACACAAAGTAGTCTAGAAAAAGAATTTCTACTACATTGTAATTTCCAATATTTTTTGTAAGATCTATGAAGAGAAAGCCATTTTTTCTTCAAGACCTATCCAGGGATCCTGCTCTCAGAAGGAGTTTCCTATTGTACACACAGTCTGAATATTATCTCAATTGTTCCCTGATGGATTTCAACCTGCCATGCAAATAATTGTAGCATTAGCAGAATAGAGCTCTCAGGACAGAACATTTTTTGCTGCAATCTTGCAGGGCATTCAGATGGGCTGGTTTGGGTTTTATTTTCTGTAGATGAATGCAGTAGCTCAGAATTCAATTTTTCTGACCCAGATTGTTAACTTTTTTCACTGTGGAAACAGCAAGCACCGGCTGAAATACAAAAGGCCTCCTTTGAAGGTTTGTTCTGCTTCTCTTCAAGATGCAGAATGGGGAGACACTCTCAGAAAGAAAGGAACTGCTTAGGTGCTTCCTGATAAGAAAGGAAGGTTACACAGAGCCCTTGACTTACAACAGTTTGCTTAGTGACTGTTTGAAGTTACAACAGCACTGAAAACAGTGACTTATGACCGTTTTTCACACTTATGGCCATTGCAGCACCCCCCATGGTCCCATGATCAAAATTCAGATGCTTGGCAACTGACTCCTATTTGTGATGGTCCCGGGGTCACTTTTTGCAGCCTTCTGACAAGCAAAGTCAATGGGCAAGCCAGATTCACTTAACTGTATTATTAACTACGACAATACAGCTGTTGCCAGAAAGGATGTAAAATGGGGCAAAACTCACTTCACAAATGTCTCACTTAGCAACAGAAATTTGGGGGTCAATTGTGGTCTTAAGTTGAGGACTACCTGCATTTAACTCAGAAGTTAAATGCAGGTAGAATGCCTCTGGAATGCCTCTGAGTTAGACACCCTGATCTAGGACATTCAATATGTTAGCTTACCCGCTGGGCTAAAGCAGAAATCCTGACGTGAAGAAGGGAGATCCAGAAGATTCCTCAGGAGCAGAGGGGCTAAGCATCCAGGGGAAAGCATAACGGGGCGACGGGTCTGAACCATTATAGGATGAACCAGACTGTATGGTTTTTCAACTCCAGCTGTACGTATGTAAAAAGCAGTGAATAATGGGAGAGACTTTGCTGGTTTTGTATATGCAAGTTTAGCAAGAGAAGAACTGTGAGAGATACCATATAAGGCAGGGGTAGTCAACCTTGGCTCTTTTATGACTCGTGGACTTCAATTCCCAGAATTCCTGAGCCAGCTTAGCTGGCTCAGGAATTCTGGGAGTTGAAGTCCACGAGTCATAAAAGAGCCAAGGTTGACTACCCCTGATATAAGGAGGATTCCTAGGTTTCTAGTACAGGTAGTCCTTGACTTACAACTATTTGTTTAGTGACTATTCAAAGTTACAAAGGCACTGAAAAAAGTGGTTTTCACACTTACGGCTGTTGCAGCATTCCCATGGTCAGGTGATAAAAATTCAGATGCTTGGTCACTGGCATGTATTTATGAGAGTTGCACTGCCCAGGGATCCTGTAATCACCATTTGTAACCATCTCAGCTGGCTTCCGACAAGCAAAGTTAATGGGGGGGGAATCCAGATTCGCTTAATGACTACATGATTCACCTAACAACTGCAATGATTTGCTTAACAACTGTGGCAAAAAAAAAAAGCTTGTAAAACGGAGCAAAACTCACTTAACAACTGCTTTGCTTGCCAATGGAAATTTTGGGCTCAATTATGGTTGTAAGTCGAGGACTACCTCTAGTTGTATATCATATTTGCAAAGAAGGGGTACAGCTGTTTGGCTCGTGTATTGCGTAAATCGCTACTATCTTAATCGCTACAAATTAAATCGGCCATGTTCTGAGATTAAAAACAAATAAGCACCAAGCTGTTCTACATGCATGAAGGAGTGTGTCATACCATGAAGCAAACATCTGCACTCTGGTAACCTCTAGATATATTGAAGTACACATCTATCATGCCCAGGGAGCAGGTCGAGAGTAACAAGATTGTCAGAACAGTATATTTGGAAGGCACCAGATCTGAGAAGGCTCTGAATATGTGCATGCATATAAAGACAATGCAAATTGTTGCTCTGAGGAGTAGTGTGTTGCAGGAAAGAACCTAAACTCTCAATTACATATAGTAATATATGTTTCCATTATTATCTCCACATGCATGAACATTCACGGATTTAACACACTGGATTTAACAACCAGTCATTTCTGATAGTCATTAGGAGAAAGAATTCTTCATCAACTGAGCTATAATGGCTCTGAAAACACTTCCCAGGAAGATTCACCTGCCCCCCAATCCTATGTCTTTCTGGTGCCTGCTGATTTTGCTTTCTATTACACCTTTAACTTATTTTAGTGTGTTTCATACAGTGCATTATTTATATGCTGATTTTAGAAGACTCCCTGGTTTTACATTTATTTGTATATGTTAATTATTTACCAAGCTTTGAATATTTTATTGTAAGCTGTCCTGACAGCATGATTCAAAGGCAGGCTAAGAATCTTAATAAAGCATCAATTTCTAATTTCTTATGAATGTGCAAAGGTATAATATCCCAACATACAGAGTACACCTCCTGGTAGGAAGAACTGTCCCTCAGAAGCTACTAATCTAAAATGGAAGTATAGCGTTAAGCTTCTTCCATCTATATGTGGACTGAGACATAAGAGAAATAACAATTCACCTGGGCAAGAGTCCAGCCAAGGGTTCTCATCCTGTTTCTTGAGTTTCACCAGGCGAAGCTGCTTCAAGGTCCGTTTCTTCAGCTAAAAAGACCAAAGGAAAGGGAGAAGAAAGGGAAAAGAGGAAACACAAGGAAGGCATTATTCAGATGCTGGCAAAAAATACACCCATATATTTATTATTGGAAGCTAAATTTTCAATATTGTCGAGATGTAGCTCACTAAGAAAGGTAGAACATATCACTAGTTTAAGGTAGAAGAATCTAAAGAAAAAAATGTAAATCTCTCAGGGAGATGGGGAGTTAAGAAATAAAAAATATTGAATGGAAGATAATCATATCAGGACAATCATGGGGAATTGGAATAATAGGGAGACGATCTAATGAATACAAAAAAATGGCAACTAAATGGTCTTATTTCAAATAATATATATAATAATAGAGGGAGATCTATTTGATGATTTAAAAGCACTGACATGGTAGACTAGTTGGCAAAGGAAGAAAGCTAGAATAAAGCTGAAGAAAATTGGGTTTTGATTTATTAGAGGAGATTTCATATTACTAATTAGAGGGTTAAAGGGAGAAGTTGAAATAAGGGGAATTTTGGTCATTAAATTTAAAATATTTGGAAATTAGTTGAAAATAAGGATTCTATTTGTTTAATATTTAAAAATTAGATCCAAAAGAAAAAAATATATGAATATGTTTATTGATTAACCCAGACAATATATATAATGGTTTTGATTTATTAAAGGGGATACTGTATTATTAATTAGATGATTTAATATGGTGGGAAATAGATAACTTTTAGGAAATAGAACAAGACTATACTCAAATAGATAAGATGTGTATTTTGAATATTAGAATCTGTTATGAATTGAGATAAGGGAAACTTTGGTTACCTAAAACCTGGACATTATAAATATCAGATGTTAAATTTGAATATTGATGGGAAACTAAAAATTGGGAAAAATCAATAACAGGACATTGATTTGTCTATAAAGATTGAATGTAAAAGTAATTAAGATATGTATAAGCTAAAAATTTATTGATAAATATAATAATGATGTTTTTACTTAGTTGATATAATAAGAACTGTACTAGCTTAAATATGAGATAGTAGATATTAAGGGAAAAAGAGAGGAAATCTTTGATGTTGTAACTTGAGATTTGTACTAAAGATTTTTGTATGTTTTTGAACTATTGATTAACCCAGCCACCATGTTGCTTTTTAAATACCTAAATGTAAAATTAGAAAATTAATAAAATATTTTTTTAAAAAAGAAATACAAAATAGAAATAAATAAAATAGAAAAAATGAATTTGTTTTCAGCTCCAGAAAGAAAATACACCATAGAGATAGCTACTGTACAGGGTTCTTACCCTCTTGATAAAATATTTTTGCTTTACCAATGTGGTAGGAAATCAGCTATCCAGTTCCTTACTCCTCAATTTTAGTATTTAACACAGATAACTAATTCTACCTAATTCTAAAAAGAGCCAAGGTGGCACAGTGGTTAGAATGCAGTATCACACACTAATTCTGCTGACAGCCAGCAGTTCAATTCTCACCAGCTCAAGGTTGACTCAGCCTTCTAGCCTAGGCCAGTAAAATGAGGACCCAGATTGTTGGGGGCAATACGCTGACTCTGTAAACTGCTTAGAGGAGGCTGTATAGCACTGTGAAGCGGTATATAAATCTAAGTGCTATTGCCATTGCTAATTGGCCCTTGCACCAGGCCGATTATGAAAATAAGTTTATTTCTGTAGGATAAAGACAAAGTTACAGTTTTGACTGAGATTTCATTTGTTATGATGTAATAGATAACATGCAGGACTTAGAGTAAAGAAAATGGGTTCAAATCACCCACAGTTAAATAGTTTCTTGGATGAGCTTGTGCCATTCAATCTTTATCTCAGTTTAGCCAATCTCACAGAGTAGAATAAATTTAGATAATCACATTTATGCCAGTTTGAGACCCTTAGATGAAAGAACAGATTCAATTATGGCTAAGAACAGTAAGACTTTGTGCTCTAATAATATGATGTAATAATAAGAAAAAAGTCCTTCTGAACTTGTATAAAACACTCTTCTCTCACTGTTCAGTATTCAAGCTACATTTATCTGGGTTAGTGGAAAGAAGAGCAATATTTGCAGTTCACCTTTGATGCAGAATATAGATGAGTAAAATTAACCTTCTTCACCTTGGTGGCCTCCAGATATGTTGGATGGCAATTCCAATCAATGATGAACTATTAGTTCTTTCTAGGTAACCCATCCATTGTCCCCAGTCTCTCACTTCCAGCTCACCTTATTCCTGCAGCTTTTCTGCCACATTGCTATCTGTATCTTCAAGAGCTGGTAAGCCCTGAAAGAATGACATCAGTTGAAAATCAGACCCTTGGCAGCCTAAAATGAAACAAAACAAATGCCAAATACTCTCTAGAGGTATCCCAAGACATACTAATGTCCAAAAATTATCATTTTTATAATCATTTGGTGAGTAAAAGCCATAACTATAGCTCTCCATTTTATATAACAGTAGAACAAGAGGTTGATACTAACTTCAACTCCCATTTCTCATAATGATGAACTAGTTCCTATTATACCTTCTGAGGAAATGCCTCTTAATAAAGACTGAGCTATCTTGTGTCTTCCATGTAATAGTATTCCACAACAGAACACCTTAAATTTTCATTTTCAAAACATAAGCATTAACTTATATAGGAGACAACAAAATAGTTTACTCGGCCCTCCCCTCCATTCTTAAGATGCTGCCATGCATGTCACAGAGCTGGAAGTCCTGGTCTTTTGCCAGCCTTTATCCTTTGTCCTTTAGATCACAATAGAAACCATTGAGAATCATGACTGCTTCCATTTGCATAGATCTGCCCTTCAGGTGAAAAGCTGCATTTTATGTTTTCCCATAATACAATGTAAGACTGCATTAAGATAAAGAGACAAAATCCCAAATGGGATTGGAGTAAGACAGTTACCAACAAAAGGCATCTGACAGCAATTCCAGCTTGTATTTACACCACAGAAGGATGAAATCTGCTGGCAAACTGCCATTTTATCTCTGCCGTGACAGAATGGGAAGTATGACAGGACCACTACGATTTCTTCCCACCAAATGACTACCATAGTAAGAAAATCACCACATTAATCCCAGAGTAAATATGAGTTAGATAAGATAAGATAAGATAGATAAGATAAGATAAGATAAGATAAGATAAGATAAGATAAGATAAGATAAGATAAGATAAGATAAGATAAGATAAGATAATCTTTATTGTCATTTTTGTATTGTGGGCACAACGGCACACATCAAAAATGAAATTTAATTGCATTAGCTGCCTAATCCAGGTATGCTCACCCTAATATACCATAATTTCCTCTCACAGGGATCGCAGAACAAAGTAGTCACAGAATTTATGTTAATCTGGATTCCACTCAGATGTATGAACTGATGAAGTTCCTTTCTATTTATTTATTTTTGTGTTTAAAAGATTTATATGGCTGCCCATTTTATGGCACACAACTCTGGCCATGATAAAAACACAAGTAAGAAAACCAATGCAAAAGAAAAAAAGGGGAGGAGGGGAAATCAAAAAAAGCCAGGATCCCAAGCCAAAACTTCATCTCTTCAATCTCTTCATCTCTTCAATCTCTTCAATTCCCAGGCTACAGCCTTAAGGTCCCAGCACCTGGGGGGGAAAGCCAGATATCCACACAGAAGGCTAAGAGGATGAGGGCTTGCTAGATCTCAAGGGAAAAGATGTTCCATAGCACAGGGGACTGCCATAGAAAAGACACACTTCCCAGGATCCACTAGATGGAAACATTTGAAGGAAGGACCTGGAGCATGCCTACTCTACCCAATCTAGCAGAATCAGCGATCTCACAGGTAACTTGGCTCTATGCTGTGTAGGACTTTAAAGGTGATAACCAGCAGCTTGAAATTGTACCCAGAAAGAAACAAGCCAGTGCAGCTTGTACAACAATGTTATAAGGTGGGTAAAACCAAGAGGCACACAGAACTGTGTGAGCTGTTCTTTTGGATAGATTGTAACTCCTGGATAGATTTCAAGGGGCAGCCTCATATATTGTATATTACAATAGTCCATCTGGGAAGTGACCAAGGCATGAATAAACTTCTTAGTGCTGCCATTGAACATGCATATTACTGAGAATTCTGAGAATAGGAGAACTTATAGCCCCCTATTTTGCTGGTGAGGCATCATATGATTCTTGAGCCAGCTTCAGGAAACTTCAGATTATAGACCAAATCAATTCACTGTTAAATTAAATATATATAAAAGAATGTATAATTAAAATAATAACTCTAAAGAAAATATTTTTTTCCAAAAGGGTATATACGGTATATGAAAACTCAGCATGTTTAAAGAAATGCCATTTCAAAAAACACAGTGCCTGCCATCTGCATTGAGAATTAACTCTGCTAAGCTCAACTCAGAAATCTGCTGCCAATGCACAGGTTTTTTTTTAAAACTTATTTTATAGTAGGTAATAGATTATTAAATCAATGGTTTCTTTAATAAAATGCTTCCTCAATCTGATAAACTGAATGTCTATCTATCTATCTATCTATCTATCTTTCTTTCTTTCTTTCTTTCTTTCTTTCTATCTTTCTTTCTTTCTTTCTTTCTTTCTTTTCTTTCTTTATCTATCATTTCCATCAGCAAGCTGTATACAGCAGAATATGTAATCCAACGTACCTGGAAGGTATTAGGTTAGAAGTGTTAAACTTACTTTTTTAATAAAAAAAAATATTAATTTATATTTGCTTCAATCATCTTTACCCAGTTCTCATTTCTTTCTCCAAAGATATATTGGTGGAAATCTCAAAACAAAGATTTTGATCATGAAAATTCCTATGGATATTTCTGACTCACTGGCATTTGAACATGGGACTGGCAAATTAAAATCTCTCCACTGAGCACTCCACTCACTCCAGATTGCCGGTTCCGGCTCTGTCTACATGTATTTATTCACACATATCAGCCCAGTCTTCTCTAAAATTCTGATAGCAAGAAAGTAAAAGCACAATACTTAATAAAATTGTTAATCCTGAAAACCCAAGTGCATCTAAAGTTATTCTAATAATACTATTGAAATAGTACAAAATATTTTAAAAACTTTTAAAAATAACATTTTTTAGAACTGATGAGAAATCCAGCAGCCTAGAATTTAACAACATTTAGTAGGCAAAATGTATCTTAAGATCGTCATTCATTCATTCATTCTCCAAATTTTTGAATTTTGTAAATCAAAATCCATTACAATAAGTACAAAATTATATAATTTTGTTATATAAAGAATATAAAGCTGGCTTAAAGGTTCTATTAAAATATTGCATGCTCTGATTTCGAGTCATGTGCACATTTGCTTCTTTCTTTCTTTACATAACTGGGGATATTGGGCTAGAATTTGCATTCATCGCACATCTTCAATGACTGAGCTACGATCAGTTGAAGAAAATGGACTGGTCTACTTTTTTCCCCTTTTGAGGCACAGAAGAGTAATTCTAACACATGAGCAAGGGGTGCACGTCCCAGGATGATTACCTGTTGTAGTTGGGTACTGTGCCCTTGTCCAAGTCTCGAAGTGTGAAGGGGTCCACACGAGCACAATACCATTCCAACTGCCCCTTATACAAGGTATCGGTAACATGAAGGATCTCTCGACACTTCACACATAGAGCATAAGGGTTTGAAAGTTCCAAGAGGCTCAGGTTAGTACGCACATAAAATGAGTCACCAAGAATTTTCTTTCTTGAATCAAATGCTTCTTTGAGAGGCTGATAACCTAATAAAGAGAGTTCAGAAAAGGAAAGAGTTTTAAAGGGTCCATATAGACCAGCAGCTTACCAGACAATCAGCTGCTCTTTAGAGATGAAAAATAAATGGTCAGGTATTCATTTCTATATATTTTAATATGGTCAGCACAGATGCAGAATATATTCAACTTTGGTGTCCAAATGAATTAAAGATAAATGAACACACCGTGACACCTTCTGCTTAGCTACTTACCTCTCACATCATGTGAGAATAGAAGAGCAGATGGGTCCTTCCAGTACAACAAGCTTAAGTGAGCAACCTCCAGTGTGCAGTTCTCCAAAGATAGCCCTTCTCCATTTAGCTGTGCCTCCCTAAGCTGAGAGGGAGGGAGGGAGGGAGGGAGGGAGAGGGAGAGGGAGAGGGAGAGGGAGAGGGAGAGGGAGAGAGAGAGAGAGAGAGAGAGAGAGAGAGAGAGAGAGAGAGAGAGAGAGAGAGAGAGAGAGAGATTAGCTTCAGAATAACATTTATAACTGTAACCTGCACAAGAAATCAAAAGATGATTGATGAATGCAAGCTGGATAGGAGGTTTCCTTAACAGATCTTTGAAACAAGCTGTTTCTGGGTCCTTAGATCTTCCTTTAAACAAAGAATGGAAGTCTTGTAAGCTCTTAAAATAAATAACACCTCCCATAAAGATTCCCAAACAGGCTACAGGCTTTTGTTTACTGGTGGATGCCTGCCCCATGCTTGGTTATTTCTGACCAACGGCATCATTTGAGAAAGCTACATACAGGAGAAACTTGTGTATGCAGGCTACATTAGCAGCAGTTTTATTTATGGCCCAAAGGCCCAAAATGTTTTAAAAAACGTTTTTAAAACATTTTGGCTGTAAATAAAATTGATGAACAGCAGTGACTAAGTCAGACACAAGGAATAATCTAACATCATAAACAATTCCACTTTTATTATTCTCCTATTGTGATGGAATATCTAACAGACCTTGGAAATATGGAAGAGAAAGAAAGACCATTACAGGAGAAAGATTAAAGATTAAAAAAAGAACAGCAGGGCTGTTAATGATTTAGGGGAAGGGGAAATGTAAGAAAAAGACCCGGAGTAACTCCATCTTAATTATGGTAGGTATTAATTGAGCTGAAGAATTGTTTTGGCAGGTTTTCAAGATTCTGCTACATTATCCTATTAGAACTAAAGTTTGTTCCAGAAATCCAAGCAATTATTTTTTTTCTGAATCTGTCTCTCTCAAAGGGCTTGACACCTCAAGAGGCACCATCAGGGCATTCTGTTGGAGCAACGATCTAAGACTTTGCTCAACAGAAGGCACTCAAATATAGTAGAATTGAATTGCTGTATTTCTAAACAAATGAAATAATATGTATTACCATCCTAAGGGAGAGAGAGGGGGAGATAATTTAGTTCAAAATCAAAAATTACTAACTGCACTTGTGTTCCTCAAGCTAGTATAACATACGCTGAAAATCAATCAGTTGCTGAGAAATATTTAATCAGATACTCGATGAGAAGGCCAATCAGTAAGAAACATAAGCAATTCCATCATGTTTGGTATAGTCCAATGACCAGAATCAAAAGATAGAAATTGGAAAGGAACTTAGAGAAGTTTCTTTTCCAGCATTCTCTTTTCATTGTGGGGATAAAAATGTATAATCTATCAGACAGGATTTTGTGTGTTTTGCTGTTTTAGAAACATAACAATAGTTGTGTTGGATAGACCAAAAGTGTAACATTTAAATTTTGAAACAGTCAAATAGATGATGTTGTGGAATCAATAAGCTTATGATAGTGATTTGTTCAATTCAATGCTGCTTTAAAGTACTAAGGATTTATGCCTCTAAGTTATAGAATGCTGGAATAGTGTGCTGGTTTCCAAAGTAATCACTAGACTGAAGTTGCTAGCTATCATAGAATAGTGTGAATATGCCTGGTGTAAAATGGATCTGTTGTACTTATAACATAGTGCCCAAAATGTGTTCTTATCATTAGTAAGGAAAGCTACATGTGACATAGATAAGGCTGGTAAGTTACTCTAAATCAGGGGTCCCTAGCACCTGGTCCATGGACCGGCACCAGTCTGCGGCATGCCAGCAACCAGTCTGTGCAAACAAGCGAAGCCCTATCTGAGGGATGCAGGCGGCATGCAAAATCATGCTCCCTCAGGTCCGTGGAAAAAACCTTTCTCCACGGAACCAGTCCTTGATGCCCCAAAGGTTGGGAGGCCACTACTATAAATTTTCTCTATATTACTAAATAATATTCAGTAAAAGCCTCAATTAACCAAATCTATAATGGACAATGGAGGCCACTATCTTTGGACAATTTTGCAATAACCACAGTAATGAAAGACTATGAATTAGAATATAAGAAAAATAAGCACTAAAATTTATATCAGAAAGTACGAATTGGTTTCATCTACAGTAGGTTGCTATATCAGGAGCTTGGAGTCCATAGATTGCTGACAATTGTAATGAATTATGTTAATGGGAGAAAAGTGGAAGAAACAGACTTTGGTAGAAATCATGCAATATTCTTAATGAATGTGATGCAGGATAAAAATTACTGTTAGGTTATCTGAATGGATAGATGAGAGCAAGAGGAAAGAATACAGAAAAAGAGACTGGATCTTCAGGAAATTGAAAATTAAATAAGAATGGTGACTGTATGCTGAGCACCTGCTCAGAAAAAGGTGTGCTTCAAAAATGTGATTGAAACATAAGTCTCTTCATGCACATGTACCAAAGGTATTAATACAAATCTAAATTCATGATTAATTTGACCTTTTTTTCATGAGAATTAATGAAGGATATAAGAGTGATGAAAGACTCTGAATATGGGACAGATTTTTTTATTTTATTTTTTTGCTGTCAAGAATAAATCTTGAGAGTAAAATTGTCATGGAATAAAAAAGAAAGACATAAAAGATATGTCTGCAGGAAAAGAAAGTATGAGCCCTATATGAATAAGTATTAGACGATAGATTAATCTTCCAAAAGAATGAATGGAAAGTAGATGTAAGTTAAGAGGATATGGAAGATGCCTGGAACAGAGAATTGTGTTATTGAGGACCACAAAAGTAGATACAGATATATTAATGGGGAGTTTAAAATGGATGCCTGGTTATTATTATAAAGTGAAAGAGTTTGTGGATGCGGGGGGAAAAATCCATATAAGAAAATGATTGCTGCAGCAAAAATAAGAATAACAGTATTTATGGCAAATAATGTAATAAAAGAGAAGGAATAGTTATGAAAAAAACACAGAGCAATTTTGATGGAGATTTTTTTTAAAAAAGTTCTGGAATTGGGCAAAAATTCAAGACAAGGAGCCTCACTGGTGAATGAAATTAAAAATAAAATGATTTGAGATTAACTGAAAAGGTTAACTGAAAGGGAATGTCAGAAAGAGTGCTTTAAAGTTGTGTATGGGTATGTCAGATATATGTTGAGAAGTAGAACTGAAGTTAGTGCTTCTCTCTTTCTTATCCAACTTTTCCTTCATAGAAATTAGCCGTAATTCCGGAGTTCTATTCATACTTCTAGGAGCCGACATCCCTCTTGGAGTCCTGCCTTTTCAGCTTCTGAGCCTGGTTTCACCCACTGGACATAAATCCCGGTTCTGTTTCCTCCAAGGATGGAAATATCTCCAGTCAGTCCCCTGCTCTGGAGTGCTGGAACACTCAGGGGACTTGTACTGGACAAATGCACCATAACCGATCTAAAAGGGAAAGGAAACAATGAGAGGGATTTATATTCTGGTCTCTGCATAAATGGAGAGATGGATATGGGTTCTGTTTTACAAGAACAATATAAGGCACGTCCAGTAAAATGTTCTAGCTAGATTTTCTACAACTACTGCAGAGTTTTCATCTGAAGAGCCGTACAATAACTAAATTCATGACACTGCTAGAGATTCTGGTCCTAGGGAGGCAAGATATTTTTATGGTGCAGCCTAAGGACACATGAATCACAAACTTAATTTTTTTGTCTTGATACAATAGTATCTTTTTTCATAGATCTACCAAATCTCAGGTGCCAGCAAGTTCCCAGCACCTTGGGCAACAGCCTCCGTTTCTTGTGCAAGAAAAAATATTGCCAGATTTTAAGCTGGAACTTTTCCAGCTTTTCACAACCTGATAATAGATGTAACAGATCACTATTCTCATCACACACACACCCAGGTACCAGGCCTATTGGAGAATATGAGAGTTGCAGTGCTCATGTTAGACTGCATTTGGAAGAAGCTAGGTTAATAAAGGCTATATGTTACCTGACAACAAGGTTTGCTTTGTTTTGTTGCAATTATTTGGATCTAATATAATTTGCATTGGGGGGGGGGGAGCTGTATTTTCTTTCTTTTTTAATGTGATCTGCCCTGGAGAAGTATATTGCAGAGGAGTAAGAAAATATCTGAAAATATGAGAGGTGATTGCAAATCTGGATTCCATTTCCTTAAAAGAAAAAAGACTGTATTCTAATAGTAGGAAGAGCCATTCTCATGATATAGCAGCTTCCCTAGTTGGTGGCTGCTGATCTGAACCGTCAAGGAAGTAGAAGGTGATAGTGCCTCTAGGCTGCAGCATCAGGGGGCTGAGATTTGAACTTTGATGGTAGAGGACAATCTTATTTTCTATGACACTTGTGTTGATAAAGCTGTCTCTANTTTCCAACAAGCGGGCCTGGCCTAGGGAGGATTTTAAATTGGGTTTCTTAGAAATTTTAATTACCACAACTCTAAAACATTGGTTTTAATTTGGTTTTATTCGGTGGGGTTTGTGGGTTTGTTTTTGTTTTAAAAAATGTTGTGAGCCGCCCTGAGTCCTTCGGGAGAAGGGCGGGATACAAATTGAATAAAATGAAATAAAATGAAATGAAACTTGTATAAAACACTCTTCTCTCACTGTTCAGTATTCAAGCTACATTTATCTGGGTTAGTGGAAAGAAGAGCAATATTTGCAGTTCACCTTTGATGCAGAATATAGATGAGTAAAATTAACCTTCTTCACCTTGGTGGCTTCCAGATATGTTGGATGGCAATTCCAATCAATGATGAACTATTAGTTCTTTCTAGGTAACCCATCCATTCTCCCCAGTCTCTCACTTCCAGCTCACCTTATTCCTGCAGCTTTTCTGCCACATTGCTATCTGTATCTTCAAGAGCTGGTAAGCCCTGAAAGAATGACATCAGTTGAAAATCAGACCCTTGGCAGCCTAAAATGAAACAAAACAAATGCCAAATACTCTCTAGAGGTATCCCAAGACATACTAATGTCAAAAAATTATCATTTTTATAATCATTTGGTGAGTAAAAGCCATAACTATAGCTCTCCATTTTATATAACAGTAGAACAGGAGGTTGATACTAACTTCAACTCCCGTTTCTCATAATGATGAACTAGTTCCTATTATACCTTCTGAGGAAATGCCTCTTAATAAAGACTGAGCTATCTTGTGTCTTCCATGTAATAGTATTCCACAACAGAACACCTTAAATTTTCATTTTCAAAACATAAGCATTAACTTATATAGGAGACAGCAAAATAGTTTACTCGGCCCTCCCCTCCATTCTTAAGATGCTGCCATGCATGTCACAGAGCTGGAAGTCCTGGTCTTTTGCCAGCCTTTATCCTTTGTCCTTTAGATCACAATAGAAACCATTGAGAATCATGACTGCTTCCATTTGCATAGATCTGCCCTTCAGGTGAAAAGCTGCATTTTATGTTTTCCCATAATACAATGTAAGACTGCATTAAGATAAAGAGACAAAATCCCAAATGGGATTGGAGTAAGACAGTCACCAACAAAAGGCATGTGACAGCAATTCCAGCTTGTATTTACACCACAGAAGGATGAAATCTGCTGGCAAACTGCCATTTTATCTCTGCCGTGACAGAATGGGAAGTATGACAGGACCACTACGATTTCTTCCCACCAAATGACTACCATAGTAAGAAAATCACCACATTAATCCCAGAGTAAATATGAGTTACATAAGATAAGATAACCTTTATTGTCATTTTTGTATTGTGGGCACAACGGCACACATCAAAAATGAAATTTAATTGCATTAGCTGCCTAATCCAGGTATGCTTACCCTAATATACCATGTTTTCCTCTCACAGGGATCGCAGAACAAAGTAGTCACAGAATTTATGTTAATCTGGATTCCACTCAGATGTATGAACTGATGAAGTTCCTTTCTATTTATTTATTTTTGTGTTTAAAAGATTTATATGGCTGCCCATTTTGTGGCACACAACTCTGGCCATGATAAAAACACAAGTAAGAAAACCAATGCAAAAGAAAAAAAGGGGAGGAGGGGAAATCAAGAAAAGCCAGGATCCCAAGCCAAAACTCTTTCACTTCATCTCTTCAATTCCCAGGCTACAACCTTAAGGTCCCAGCACCTGGGGAGAAAAGCCAGATATCCACACAGAAGGCTAAGAGGATGAGGGCTTGCAAGATCTCAAGGGAAAAGATGTTCCATAGCACAGGGGACTGCCATAGAAAAGACACATTTCCCAGGATCCACTAGATGGAAACATTTGAAGGAAGGACCTGGAGCATGCCTACTCTACCCAATCTAGCAGAATCGGCGATCTCACAGGTAACTTGGCTCTATGCTGTGTAGGACTTTAAAGGTGATAACCAGCAGCTTGAAATTGTACCCAGAAAGAAACAAGCCAGTGCAGTTTGTACAACAATGTTATAAGGTGGGTAAAACCAAGAGGCACACAGAACTGTGTGAGCTGTTCTTTTGGATAGATTGTAACTCCTGGATAGATTTCAAGGGGCAGCCTCATATATTGTATATTACAATAGTCCATCTGGGAAGTGACCAAGGCATGAATAAACTTCTTAGTGCTGCCATTGAACATGCATATTACTGAGAATTCTGAGAATGAACTTTACAAATCCAGACAATAGGAGAACTTATAGCCCCCTATTTTGCTGGTGAGGCATCATATGATTCTTGAGCCAGCTTCAGGAAACTTCAGATTATAGACCAAATCAATTCACTGTCAAATTAAATATGCATAAAAGAATGTATAATTAAAATAATAACTCTAAAGAATTTTTTTTTTCAAAAGGGTATATATATGAGAACTCAGCATGTTTAAAGAAATGCCATTTCAAAAAACACAGTGCCTGCCATCTGCATTGAGAATTAACTCTGCTAAGCTCAACTCAGAAATCTGCTGCCAATGCATAGGGTTTTTTTAAAACTTATTTTGTAGTAGGTAATAGATTATTAAATCAATGGTTTCTTTAATAAAATGGTTGCTCAATCTGATAAATTGGATGTTTATCTATCTATCTATCTATCTATCTATCTATCTATCTATCTTTTTTCTTTCTTTCTTTCTCTATCATTTCCATCAGCAAGCTGTATACAACAGAATATGTAATCCAACGTACCTGGAAGGTATTAGGTTAGAAGTGTTAAACTTACTTTTTTATATAAAAAATATTAATTTATATTTGCTTCAATCATCTTTACCCAGTTCTCATTTCTTTCTCCAAAGATATATCGGTGGAAATCTCAAAACAAAGATATTGATCATGAAAATTCCTATGGATATTTCTGACTCACTGGCATTTGAACATGGGACTGGCAAATTAAAATCTCTCCACTGAGCACCCCACTTACTCCAGATTGCCAGTTCCAGCTCTGTCTACATGTATTTATTCATACATATCAGCCCAGTCTTCTCTAAAATTCTGATAGCAAGAAAGTAAAAGCACAATACTTAATAAAATTGTTAATCCTGAAAACCTAAGTGCATCTAAAGTTATTCTAATAATACTATTGAAATAGTACAAATTATTTTAAAAACTTTTAAAAATAACATTTTTTAGAACTGATGAGAAATCCAGCAGCCTAGAGTTTAACAACATTTAGTAGGCAAAATGTATCTTAAGATCATCATTCATTCATTCATTCATTCTCCAAATTTTTGAATTTTGTAAATCAAAGGCACAGGACCTTTTGTAAATTAAACTGGGCTAGCAGAATCTCCTTTCCCCAACAAAAACTTGCTTTCCTACAAACTTTGCATCTACAATACCCACATATCATAGCGGTGCTTTGCTTTGTAGGTTACCACAATATTTCCATTACAATAAGTACAAAATTATATAATTTTGTTATATAAAGAATATAAAGCTGGCTTAAAGGTTCTATTAAAATATTGCATGCTCTGATTTCGAGTCATGTGCACATTTGCTTCTTTCTTTCTTTACATAACTGGGGATATTGGGCTAGAATTTGCATTCATCACACATCTTCAATGACTGAGCTACGATCAGTTGAAGAAAATGGACTGGTCTACTTTTTTCCCCTTTTGAGGCACAGAAGAGTAATTCTAACACATGAACAAGGGGTGCACGTCCCAGGATGATTACCTGTTGTAGTTGGGTACTGTGCCCTTGTCCAAGTCTCGAAGTGTGAAGGGGTCCACACGAGCACAATACCATTCCAACTGCCCCTTATACAAGGTATCGGTAACATGAAGGATCTCTCGACACTTCACACATAGAGCATAAGGGTTTGAAAGCTCCAAGAGGCTCAGGTTAGTACGCACATAAAATGAGTCACCAAGAATTTTCTTTCTTGAATCAAATGCTTCTTTGAGAGGCTGATAACCTAATAAAGAGAGTTCAGAAAAGGAAAGAGTTTTAAAGGGTCCATATAGACCAGCAGCTTACCAATCAGCTGCTCTTTGGAGATGAAAAATAAATGGTCAGGTATTCATTTCTATATATTTTAATATGGTCAGCACAGATGCAGAATATATTCAACTTTGGTGTCCAAATGAATTAAAGATAAATGAACACACCATGACACCTTCTGCTTAGCTACTTACCTCTCACATCATGTGAGAATAGAAGAGCAGATGGGTCCTTCCAGTACAACAAGCTTAAGTGAGCAACCTCCAGTGTGCAGTTCTCCAAAGATAGCCCTTCTCCATTTAGCTGTGCCTCCCTAAGCTGGGAGGGAGGGAGGGAGAGAGAGAGAGAGAGAGGGAGAGGGAGAG